ACTTCCACCGGCCCAAGGCTGCGTTTTTGAGTGGCGCAGTCATGGTTAGCCTGACTAATCTCGTTGGTCGCCGCGGCCTTCTCTGGAACATCCTCTTCGCTGTCAACCATTCTTCTCTCACCTGGAGTCTTTTCTTCAGTTCTGCCTTCATTCTTTCACTATCGAGCTCCTCCTTGACTGCTCCGGTGTGCTTGTGATGCGGACACAGAGCACCGTCTTTGCATGATCTGTCGAGGGCGCAGCAGTTGAAACCTGGCCCACACAGTCTCTCCCCCAAGTCTGAGCGTGGAAGTGGATTATTGACTTGGTGTTCTCATACAGCATTCACGGCCCCAGTGGCCCTTGCCTCCATTCAATTTGTCAAACATCTTGCGGGAGACCGTTGCCCTTTCTTTTACCATCCTCTCCTTTTCCATCGTTGCCTTTCTACTGCTTCACCTTTTCTTTGTGGTCGTACCTGCTGTGTCGCCCATGGCCTCTGCCCTTCTGCTTACCTTTTCCTTTGCTGCCTTTGTCCTTTCCTTTCCATTTGCTGCCTTTCTCCTTGCCTTTCACTCTGTTAACATCCATCAGGACCGCCTCGTCCTTGTCGTGATCCTTGATGATTACATCTCCTCTTTGGCCACCTTGGCATACTCTTCCGCCACGCGCTCAAGACCAAGGAGCTGCTCCAACACCGTCCTAAGTGGTAATGGGCTTAATGCTGACTATGATCAGGAATGTTTTACACGAGCGAACGTTGCTTACAGCCGTGCCACGAACCTCACCATGCTTGCTTCCCCGCTCAACATGCAAGGAATGCCAGGTGCTCTGCAGGCGCTTGCTGCCCTCCTACATGGAGTACAAACTGTACATACGAATGATGCCCGCAAGCTGACTGCCTGTGGCTCCCTCAACCTTGAGGCAGTACAAGTTAGTGAAGCCACTGCAGCCTTCCAGGTGGCGCTCTTGCCGCATGACCTGTGGTTTGGCTCACTCCCAGTCTGTTTGGCAGAATATCATGAGGGAAAGGTGAGGCGCTTACGTCTTGTCTTAGCAACCAAGTCACACCTTCTGACAGCTGAAGCTTCTTGCCTGCAGGACGGGCCCCACCTCCCTGGCCATACGGCAAAACATGGGCTCCTGTTTGGCTACGCCCTGGACGCAGTTCAAACACCAGAATGGCTGGTCGTCCCAGAAGGACAACAGTCAGGCCAATGGAGACTGCTGCACAACAGCACGGATTCTGGCCGAAGGTGCAGTGTAGGATGCTCCAAACGGTACCAACCACGGTCAGGCGCAGAGCCGAGCAGAAAGGGACAGGACTACAGCTTTGAGGCAGTGCACCGAATCTATTTTTATAATGCTTGGCGACCAGAACCGGTACTGGATACGCCTGGGTCGGAGCTTGTCCTACCGCCCGAGGCCGGTCGTTTAGTCCACGGCTGTTACTGGCCCCGACAGCAGAATAGTGACGAAGTCCATACAGTGTCAGATGTGGAGACGGAAGCTGCTGAGAACCCACACCCTCCACCACCCTCACCAGCGGCAACAGACGCTACCATGGCCTCAGGGGAAGGGAACAGTATTGTAGGAGCTTTTTGGATTGAAATCTCCAGGATCCCGGTTTGGCTACAGGCCGCCGTTTAATCGGAGACTCCGAAATGTTGCATTGTTATCTACTCCACACGGTGGAAGAGCAGTGCCCTCTTCCTCCGCCATTGCATCTACTCCTTGCCTGACATGGGAGGAGGAGGGGCGTGCCAGCTTGGCTTGGCGAGCTAGGCAGCGTGGTTGGGTCTGGGGCGCAACTGCTAACGGAGGCAGTCGGCAGGACAAGGACAGGCACAGCCCCTGGGCAGCATACCAGAAGATACGCAACGACCTCTCACATATAAGAATCTGGCAAACATGGCAGACCCCATGCAAGGGACACCAGTCAGTAGGGACCCAGCCACTCCATCCTATCACCCCTTTGAAGCACAGGAGCAAGAAATCGTCACTGCCGAGATTGACTTAGACAATGACCACGCAGAAAAGGAGCAAGGAGGAACTGCAGCCACTGACCTAAAACTGGCAGCGGAACAAGTGGCTATGCAAGGGCTGCATAGCTACCAAGTAGCAGCACAGGAAGCCACTACCCCAGCCAGGAAAGGCATTGCATTGCCGTCCATGCAAATCTACAGTGACCTGCCCCGCGAGTGGCCAATGGCAAGGCTGTGCGTCTCATACAAACAAGTGAACCGATATGTCCGCACAGCCCTCTGGAGGCGGGTTGTGTGTGTTTGGCAATATCCAGATGAGGTACGCCCAGACCTCGTAGGAGACCTGCTACAAATCCGCAATGCTTTCGCTGCGCCAATCATGCCTGAGCCAGCGCATGCCACTGGTCCTGCCAACAGCCAAGGTGCTGGCAGAGGTCAGCCTGACAGAGACCGACACGGAGGCAGACAGAAACGATACCTCCCCCAGTGAAGTCCCCTCGCCGGTAAGTACGGATCATGATGATGCCTCACCAGTTTCAGTAGGCAGCTCTGAAGATGCGGACAATTGTTCCCCTGCCGCAGATACAGAGCCCTCACCGGATGACACCCAAGTCATCACCCTCCACTCACGATGGCGAACCCGAAGAGCCTCAGATGGTTAGTGAGGCTCTGGAGAATGCGGCCTTAGCAGAAGACGCCGTTATCCAAGAGGAGGAAGAAGCTGAGGAAGCAGAAAGTGCTGAGGATGATAGCGTCATTGACATTGACGCAAGTGTAGAGGGGAGCACAGAGCAAGAGAAAGCTAGCCGCGGTGTGCCTTTGACTCTGCAAGCGGCATCCCAGCCCCTCCACTACGGCCAAAGTACAGTAGCCCCTGACACCCTGCCGATCACACCAAGGCACACGGAAAAGACCGGGATGAAGCGCCCGGCGCCAGCAGTGTCCCAGGGCGCCCTCAATGACGATCGAACTTCCCCTGGCGAAGCCCAGGAACTACCATGCACCAGCCTCATCAACGAAGGCGGCTACCCGAGTAGCCGTCCTTCTGCTCCTCCAGCATCCTCTGAGTACATGGGAAGCACACTCCGACGTCAAGAGGCGTAACCCCTGGCGACAAGAATTACGCCAGGCACCTCTTCCCCTCCTTGTGGAGTTGATCCGGCAGCGGCATCACCAAGTGGCTCGGCAAGCTCCACATCCCAAAGAGAAATCATTGGATCCTGTCTGAAGGGGGAGGCTTCCGAACATGGTTCGATCGCCTCCCGTTTGCTGTGGATGTTGGAGTAAGAGTTTAAGACTCAAACGGAATCCCACAAAGGGGCACACAGTGCCGCCACCGCTTGTCCCCATCTAATTCTGGTCCAAAACGAGCTTCCCCTGGTTGCACTTTCGCTGCCAAACGCCGCTTCTGGATCCTTATAGAA